AGCATGGTATTTGTTCTTGATATTTGTTTTGTGTGATTGATCAACTTAAAACCCAACATTTTGATGTTGGCTTGTGTTTCTTGAAATTAATTTTAAACATGTTCAACTCTGTTGTGGATGTTTTTTATTTCCAAATTTATGAAATCTCATAAACTTGACAGCTAATTATGTAGCAGTAGCTTTATGAAATATCTAAATATACCGTTTTGATTAATGCATATTATTGTTGCTTCAATTGATTGGTGCAGTAATTGCACTCAAAAAATTGGATGATCAATTTTAAATCTGTAACCATATAGTTTGATAATGTCGCTTCCTTTTTTCACCGGTTATGATTTTATGAAGACTTAAGATTTCATTACTGCTTGCACAGACTTTCTGTTTGAAGATATGACGGATTAAAGATATCATGATTAGTCAAATAGTACCAGTTTTACAACAAATAATACCAATAGTTCTTGTACGCAATACCTGTTTTTATTCAATTAGTACCTATCTTGGTCAATGAAAATAGATATTTAATTTTGTTCAACATTTGCGAGATCAGTACCACCCTATAGTTAGATAGTACTCATTAAATAGAGTTTTAGTACAAGATATCGGGTTTTCAGTACCAACTCCGACGAACATAAAAAAAAACACCGAATTTCGGACTCAAATGATGTTTATATGACCCATTATCACTCTCATATTAGTTTATATGAGATTTATAATATGTTTAATTAAGTTTAATCGCAAATCCATCACGAACTTAACACACTAATGAAAAAACACAATTAATACACTTCATCTCATTGAATGATCATACATGACTACTCCAAATTCTAACTATATGTTTGAACTTCCACTATTTCTCAACCAAATCACACGTGAACGATCTACGTGGCATGGTAGACATGGAGGATTAAAGAAATCACGATTACTAAAACGGTACCAATTTTGACAGCAATAGTACCCCTTCTTCTTCTGCGTAGTACCTGTTTTTAATCAATTAGTACCTACTTTTGGTCAACGAAAATGTATTACTTCAATTTTGGTGAACATTTTCACAAATTGGTACCAGACCTACAGTAAGATAGTACCAGTTTTTGGTGTTTTAGTACCAGATATCAGTTCTTTTGTACCAACTCCGACAAACATAAAAAACACCGAATTTTGGTCTCAAATGATGTTTATATGACCCATAATCACTCTCACATTAGTTTATATGAGATTTAAAATGCTTTTAAATGAGTTTAATCGCAGATTGGTCATGACCTCGACACACTAATGAGAAAACACTACTAATACACTTCATTTCATTGAATGACACACTTTATCTCATAGAATCATCATACATGAGTACTCCAAATTTTATCTACATGTTTTAACTTTCACTATTTTTCATCAAAATCATGCGTGAACGATCCGCGTGTCATGGTAGACATGAAGAATTAGAGAAATCACGATTCTTAAAATAGTACATGTTTTAGCCATAACAGTACCAAATTTTTTTCTACGTCTTACCTGTTTTTGATCGATTAGTACCTACTTTTGTGAATGAAAATGGATTATTTCAATTTTAGTCAACATTTACAAAAAGTAGTACCAGACATAGAGTAAGATAGTATCAGTTTTATATTATCGTAGTACCTGATATTGGGTATTTAGTACCACTTGTAATGAACACATAAAAACACCTAGTTTCGGTCTCGAATGATATTTATATGAACCATAATCACTCACATTACATTATATGAGATTTAAAATGTTTTAATTGAGTTTAATCACAAAATGGTCATGAACTCGACATACTAATGAGAAAAACACTACTCATACACTTCATTTCATTGAATAACACACTTCATCTCATAGAATCATTATATATGACTACTCCAAATTCTACCTATATGTTTTAAATTCTGCTGTTTTTCATCCAAATCACGCATGAATGATCCACGTGTCATGATAGTCATGAAGGAGTAGAGAAATCACGATTTCTAAAACAGTACCTGTTTTAGCCATAATAGTACTGCATTTTTTTCTACGTGGTACCTGTTTTTGATCAATTAGTACCTACTTTTGTGAAAGAAAATAGATTATTTCAATTTTGATCAACATTTATGAGAAATAGTACCAGACGTGAAGTAAGATATTACCAATTTTATATTGTTGTAATAC